ATATCTATATATATATAATAAAAATTAACATTTAACAAAAATAGTAGCAAAAAAATAGGAGAAAATTTAATGCAACCTATAAATAGTAAGTCTTTTTTATTTTATATTTTTATCTGTAAAAAATCATACTAACATTAAATGTTGCATTAATTTTGGGTTTAATTCATTTTATTATTTAAAAATTCCAGCTAAGATCTATTAAGTGTGCATTTTTTATTTTTATTTTTTTTCATATAAACACCGAGTAACACTAAAATCTAAGTCTCTATATTTATAAAATCTCAATTCAAAAGGTTATAAAATTTTAGAATATTGGTCTTTATATTTATGCCTTTCAAAAAAAGATATTGAATGCTATTCTTTACATATCATTTTTCATTAATCATCACAATTTTTTTATTTGGAACGTGTGATAATAAACTTGGTAACGTTTATTATTATTTTTTTTACCAATCTATTATATTTTTATATTCGGTTTCAAAAGGTAAAATAATTTTTAAATTCTCAGTCTCAATAATTGTGCATTTAAAAATTATATTTAATGATAATATATTATTTGTTAATAGTACACAATTTTGAAAACTCCATTATAAATTGTATGTTGATATCTAAATCATTTTATAAATGCAACCGACTTTGTTAAATATCCACGAAAATATGGTAAACAAAATTAGACGATCAACTTTGTATGGAAATAAAATAGAATCAATAAATCAACGTGAAGTTAAGAGGAAATTAACATAATGAATAATTTGTATAGTACACGGATTTAAGAATTAATACTCACGTGGATTATAAAATTCGAACTTATTCTTATCATCATCTTTTGGAAATTGAATAATATATTGTAGGCAAGATTTTTTTAAATAATTTTAACATGTTTTATTTATAAAATAGTTTAGAAAAATTTAGGTGACTTCACATCTTTCAATAAGGATATATAAAATATTAGATACTTTACATACGTTATATAATATTTTAGGTGTTTTTAATATTTTAAACATACATTTTTTATGTTATTTTATACAAGATAATTTTATATTGTTTACATCTGATATACGATAAATTATGTCACATATGAACTCCACATCTTAATTACAATTATTAATTAATATTGTTTACCCTCATATTCAATTTATAATTATGAGTTAATATTGTTTACTATCATTTTTAATTTATAATTAGTATTTAATATTATTTACCGTGCATCGCACGGGCTACACACTAGTATGTTATAAAAGCTATTACTACTTTATAAAATTTCTACTAAAAGGCTTTATTATATTATATTATATTTGCTCTATGAAGAATAATATTCGACTACATAAGTTAAATTTAATAAACCGAACTCTGTAAAATTGTAATTACCTATCTAAGCTAAATTTAATAAAAGAACGCTAAATGATGTCGTTAATTTAAGGCTCAACTTGACTAGCAAAAATATATGCAATGGCTTGGTTTTTTATTAAACCTCCTACACTCAAACATGATTTTTTTCTTTTAAGGCTCCGTTTGTTTTGAGGGATTTGAAATGTATTGATTTTAAAATTTTTGAAATATATTTTTTTTTTACTTGCACATTTCTTGAATGGATGTGTTAAAAATATTATAAATAAATTGTCTAGCTCATATCGATGATATTGACTCGCGGTGATAATAAACCTAAATGATCGCGGACGGCGTGGTCCTCAACAGTGGATTTCAAATGATTAAGTTTGAGGAGTCATTTCAAATCCTTCAAAATAATAACTAAAAAACATTTAGCATGAATTTGAAATCTTCCAACTTCCATTATTATCTCAACATGCATGGGCATTTAAACTTATAATTTTGAAATCTATAGATTTCAAATCTCTCAAAACAAACAAAATCTAATTTCACTTGAGTTTAGATAAATTACATTTATACTCCACTCACTAACACTCAAAAAACTAAAAAACAAAAAATTTTTATAAACAAACATGCTCTCAATATTACAACAAACGAACTCGAATCAAGTTTGATACCGGGTTCGAACTTTAACTCGAGTCCCTCGATTAGTTGGGATTGAGAGTGGCGGAAAATCTTGTAGTTGCGTTTGAGTCATTTTACGCCATATTTCGTGATTTTTCTTTTTCTTTTTGGGTCATCAACATTCAGCACCATCTCTGCTAAAAATTTTCAATCTCAACGCCTCCATTTTCAAAGCAATAAACATGCCGCAGAACGATTTTCAGTCTCCAGCTGCAAGTCCTTCCCCCCAACCATGGTAAAATCTCGAGAATCTCTCACTATTTATTCTTTTTCTTTCATCGGTTTTGTACTTAGCTCATGTTATTCAATTGTAGCTCGTGTTTTTTACTTTTTTCTTGTCGAATTTTATGTGCATTTTTTAGGACATACCTTGAATTTAACGGCGCTGTGATTAATTCATCGTGAATTTCATCAATTTTCGGGGATATACTTATGAGGGTTTTTTCTCTTTTGATGACCTGATTGATAAAAATCCATTCTTTTCCTGATTGATGATATATATTATATATCGACAAGCTAGCTGTTTGGGTTTTCTTAACTTCTGCTATGTTCATCATTTTGAAAAAAATAAAATAAAATGAAAAGGTGAAATTGAATGTATGAAGATGAATTATATGCTTGAGCTAATAAATTTGTGAATTATATATGTTGAAATTGGTAAGAGTAAGGCTATGAATGACTGATGAAAATGTGGCTGTGAGCTTTCTGCACGTTGCAGGTAAATTTAGTGCCCCATTGACTCGAACAGTAGTGACCCTTAGCAACAAACAAGTTGTTTTAGAAATTTAGCTGCCGACCATTATCCGTAGGAAAATACTGTTGGAAGCCAATCCATATACCTAATCAACGATGGTAAAAGTCAATCGTGCTGATATAGTCAGCTGGAAGCTGTTAAATTTCTATTTACAGCGACTATTTTTCTGTATAGAGTGTATCTAAATGTGCCTATTTGATCCTCGGTTCATATTTCCTTTAATCTTGCACGTGCATTCCCTTCTTTTTCGGTTTTAGGTGGTTATAAGTTATAACTAAAAACTATACTTTGTCCTATTGAAGTAGTTCTTAAGTACTGCAATTTGATATGGCCTTGATTGTTATATGAATTTGACTCACTATATGCCAAGCTCATATATACACAGCTACAAGGATTTGAATGTAACAATGAAAATGAGCCACCGCAGTATTTGTTTAGCTTAATTTCTTCAATTATTTTATTCGTACATGTATATTATTAATTGGCAAAACTATATATAATGTTCTTCGATCAGGCAATTATTTTGGTTCTCCCATAGCTTTGTTGACAGATTAGTTAGCTGCTTGCAATTTAAAAAAAAAAATGAAGTGCTAGACATATCAGAAATCATGAACTACCCATATAGATCACATATATTGAAGTCAGTTATACACATAAACAAATCAACAACAGTCAAATAGTGGAAACCAAATAAATCTTGAATTATAAACCGAATAAAGTGGGAAGATGCAATCATGCAAGTTTTACACCATTTTTCGAATCAAATACGAATAGTCAACAACAAAAAAATTTCAACATTCGAATGTCATCTTTCGTCTGCACGAAATTTAATTTACAGTTTGATCCCCGTTGCCTTGCAGAGGGGGCAACTATTCTTGCGCATCAACCACTTTGCGATGCATCTCGCGTGAAAATCATGCCCGCAATCGAGACCAGCAATCTTATCATGGTCTCGTAACAGACAATCCTGGCACACCACACATATCTTATTGGGATCATCATCTTCAGTAAACTGATCATCTTTCAGTCTCAGATTCTTACTGATAATCTCTTCACACAGCCCTTCATCTCCTTTTTCCTCTACTTCTCGAGCATCAAGAATCAAAGAGCCCTCACTGACCATGGACGAGTAGTTTCCGTTTACTCGCGGGCCCGAAAAGCTTGCAGAGGGGCCCGTAAACTGATTGCGGTTTACATCAGCATAAATGTTGCTAATGTGTGAAAGCTCGAGATTGGAAGGCCACGGTAGATATGGAGGGTACAGAGGAACAGAGAACGGAGAATGCAAGAAGAGTCCTGGCTGAAAATACCCGAAAAACGGAACAATATGAGCTTCTTGTTGATGAAGATGATGATGATGGTACGGTGATGTTAAACCCATGTTATAATGATAAGTATCTGCAAGAGGAGAAAAAACGTGGTAATTTTCAGAGGCGGCCATGGCAGATTCTTTCTTTCTTTCTTTCTTCGAATTTGATAATGGCTTTGTCTTTTGATGTTCTTGTGATTGAATATGGTGAGTATATGTAGAAATTTACTGTGTGTATTGTTATATATGTGTTTGTGTGTTGCGTGCGGGTTTTTTTCCTAATGTTGGAAGGTTTAGAGTGGAATCATATAATTTTGAGAATTAATTATGGTAGGTTTTAGATTGAAAAAGAATATTAATTACTTTCCTTCCGTAGAAAGGTTGACAAATAATATTTGATATTATATTGTTTAATATGATGAATAATATTTTGGTAAACTAATAATATTTGATATTATATATTTTAATATGAAGAATAATATTTTGGGCAGGGTATTCGGTTTTACTGATTATGAAAGACTAGTACGTAACCCGTGCGATGCACGGGATGTAACATTTGAAAGAATAATATAATCTCACGTGCATTAGGATCGAAATTGAAATCATTAAAATACATAGGAACATTGTTGAATCATAAAAAGTTCGGTAACAATCATATATTATTAAAAACCTCCTTGTACACAATATTATGAGTTTGATTATTTGGTAACTCCTCATTATCACAAACTAATATTTTCAAAAGAGACAAATCCTAAAAATCAAACTAATATTTTTGGTGAAAAAACCAATATTTTAGGATTGGTGAACAAACTAATATTTTAGGATTTGTCTCTTTTTGGTGAACAAACTAATATTTTAGGATTGATTATATGAATAAAGCTACCTGTTTTTGGTGTTCTTTTCATTCATTTTCATTCAAACAATCCGACGACTTGTATAATGAAATCCGAATCTTAAGCCAAAATATTTAAAAAAAAGAGTTTTTAAAAATTGAAAAGTCAAGGCAATCAGTTCAGATTAATTAAAGGTCAAAGAATATCCGCTCATTGAAATAAAGACGTGTGCTATCATTAACCAAATATCCGGTTATTGATATAGAGTGGTTACCAAAAAGTAGAACGCGATAAGGACGCTTCATGGAAATATCAATGGGATAAAGTCATAACAGATCGCTATACATTTTAACGATTAAAGCTCAGATAGAATGATTTATGATAATTATGTCGTAATTAATGAATTAATTAAATGTGTGAAAATGACAAAATTAATGAAAAGTGTGAAAAAGACATAATTAATGACAAGTGTGAAAAGGACATAATTAATGACAAGTGTGAAAAAGACATAATTAATGAGAAATGTGAAAAAGACAAAAACTTACCAGTTTTGAAAAATATTAATGCAAATTCGACATTGACCATAATTTGACCTACTATTTTAGATAAATGTTAATTCTTATTATATAAGTATAGATTTATTATTTATTTTTAATTTTATGATTAATGTAATTCTTCTAAACAACTAGAAATCGTTTTGTTAGTTATTTTCATAAATGATTTTCAAAACATACTTTTTCAAATAATAATACTTTAAATTAAAATAGGGTTTAAGCAATAATATAAATAAAACTATGACATATCATAGTATAAATAAGTATTTTTCATTGAAATATTATGACGGATCAACCCAATTAATATTTAGTTATATGTATTTTTTATTGAAATATTATGACGGATCAACCCAATTAATAGTTAGTTGCGTATACAAGAATTTGTGTATTTTTTATGTAAAAAATAGTGTTTGTCATAGATATATATTAATCAATAACTCAATAAATCGATGAGCTTAAATCTTAGCAAGCTTTTAGTTTAGCTTTTATTTATTTATTTTTTCTTTGTGATTTTCAACAAATTCAAACATCATTTCCCTTTCAATTTTGAGACGATAATTTGCAATTTAATAAATCTAAAAATGATTTCCCTTTCATTGCTGATTGAGAACCTTAAAAGTTTATATTATATAATAAATGCAATTACAACTTTATAAAATTTCTACTATATGTCTTATATTATATTTGACTGAACAAAGAATATTCCAGTAGATAAGCTAATTTAACAAACCCAACCATGTAAAAGTGTAATTTAATATCCAAAAATGACAATTTCCCCATTATTATGGCCTTGAATTTTAAACATTAAAATCAAATCGGAGCGTCTGTAGTAGCCGTTCATCATCCAACGGCCACGATGGAGCGTCATAACCAATAACGTTTACTCAAAACCTCAACGGTCAAAAAACTCAAAAACCTTGACAAAAAATCCCTCTACTCTATATACAGATTCCTCATTTCCAAAATTCTGAAAATCATCAAATTTATTCACAAGAAATCTCCAGAAAAGTTTGGAAAAACAAGATTCACACAATCAATTTCTCATTTTGATTCGAAATTCTTGAAACCCATTACAGAAAAAACAAGCGAAAATTGAGAAAAATAAAATAAAAATGAGTGTGATTCAAGTTTCAGAAGCCATGGATCCTTCAGCCGAGCTCCAGATATGGAACAACGCCGCCTTTGACAACAGCGGCGGAATCTCCGAGGATCTGAGTGCGAGCAGGCAGTCTTGGGGCTCGTTGAAGTCAATTTTCGGTAACCCTAAAGCTTCTTTTGATTCCGTTTCCGATAAAGAGAATCTGTGTGTCGGGCCGGAAAATGATCGGATTCCTTCTCTGTTATCATCTTCCCTGAAATCCTCAAGCACCCCATTTAAGCCCGTCAACTCAGACAACCGGGCCGTGGAAGAAAAAAAATCAAGAACCGGCGGTTTTCTGAAAGAGAGCCCGGGCGAAAAAATTGTTGCTTTGGTTGAAATTAGGGATGAGAAGGCGATAGATGATGAAATTGAGGAAATCGAGTCCCACATTTCGAAACTCAAGTCCAAGTTGGAGGCCCTGAGGCTCGAAAAGGCCGAGGCGAACGAGAAAGCTGTCGAGAAGAAAATCCGAGCCGTGCCCGCAAAGTTCATGAACCCGAAAAAGGCTGACGGGACTACTGATAAGAGAAGGGGGATCAGTCTTGGGCCCGTGGAAATCATATCGGGGGCCCGTAGGGTGGCCAGCGTGGGGCCCGCAGAGATTTTCCGGGCCGCGAGGTCGAGGCAGATGCTGGGGAGGCCCGAAATGGGCACTCCAGTTCAGAACCGGAGAAAATCGTGCTACTGGAAGTTGCAGGGCATAGATGAAGAGAAGGTGGGCTTGGGCTTTTCGAGCGTGAGCCCAAATTCGAGAAAAATTGGGCTGAAGTCCGAAATCAAGAACTCAAGGCAGGCCGTGACAACAATTTCGTCGAGAAAGGCCTTTTCGAAGAAGGAAGACTCGGTTCTGAACTCGGTCCAGCCCAAAAAACTGTTTAGGGAAGGCGGGGAAAAGGTGGACCCCACAGCTGGCAAGAAGCTGTCGAGGCCCGGGAGAATTGTGGCTAGCCGGTACAACAATCTGAACTCCGTTCAGACACCCTTAGCCAGAAAGAAGTCTTTGCCGGAAAATGATGACGGTTTCAGCCAGAAATTCGATAGTAAACGGGCCTTGTCAGTGGGGAAAGCCCGGGTGAAAAAGCGTTGGGAAATCCCGAGTGAGATTGTTGTTCACAGCAGTGTGGAGACTGAGAAGAAGAAGTCTTCTCCTCCACAGTCTATTGTTTTGCTGCCTAAGATCAAGACTGCTCGGTGCATGAAGGAAAGCCCGAGGGACTCGGGCCCCGCTAAAAAAGTGGTCGAGCTTATTGGGAAGAAATCGTTTTTCGCGAATGACTCTGAAGATGAGATGGACCCGCCTGTTTGTCAGACCTTGACCTACGATGAGGAAGAAGAAGTTGAGGAATTTTCATACCCGGGATTTTGATGGGATGTTCGGTCGGCGTGTAAGGGCTTGTTTGGATCTGTTATTATATTCTTGATGTTGATGAGATGATGGGATTGATTACAAAGGAAGCATTCTGATTTTATAGTACATAAGTTTTCAGTGTTATGGATCATTTGTATCTAGTGATGCATAGAAATAAGTGGATTAAACACTGCACATGAACTGTGTTGTGTTGTTTGAGTTTTTGGGATGGGCCAAGCATACTTGTGCTGCCCTGCTGCTATATTTGCTGCTTTGTGTTGGATTGGTATTGTGTAATAATGCAAGTGGAAAATTCAGGGTTTTTTGGATTTTTTGGTTGAATTTTGTTGTTAACTGGGGGAAGCAAGTTCTGTTTTTTTTTTTCTTTTTTTGAAGCTGATTTGTTATTAATTTTCCTTCATTGATGAATTTAATATTCATACAATCACTTGGGTGGATAAAATATTGGATATAAGTATATAACAATGTCACAAAGACAGAAATTCAAAATATGACAGCAAAAGTTTTTGCTCCTGATTTTACTCAGATGAGAGGCATAAAGAAACCTTTATTCTTTCTCTCTTTACTGTCTCTTTCTAAGGTTCATTTTATAGCCTTTTGAAAGCCACAAAAAAGTCAAAAGGTGCCCTTTTCTCAATTGCCAAAGCCTTTTTAAGATTGCAAAATGTTCTCTAAATGACTTTTATAGTGTTCAAACAATCTGCAATTTGAGATGCAAAAGCTAGGAACATTATCAATTAGTATGAGAAATAATTCAAACAAATATATGAAGCATGTCAATAACTTATACATTTTAAGACTGATATTTGCATGTCTGCACCACGAGATAACGCAGTAGAAGAAAAACATCTAAAAATTGCAATTGAACCTCAGCACTCCATTTGAGATTCAACTCTCCCCCGAAGATAAAACCTTCTCAAATATGTATATTGTTCCAACTAACATACACAATGTCAAGCTAAATTGGCCTAAAAGCTAATAACCTCACAGCAAATAACAAATTGGCAACTGCACTGCAGATATTAAGCCATGCACGCAATGCACTTCATAAACTGATACACTTCAGAATCTATAAGATTCAACTCAAAATCACACATTTTATAAGATGAAAAAGGTCGAAAGTTATGTCCCAACAATCAATGCTAACCAACTTGTCCACTGCTTCAGCTAGAGCATGAACATGATGAACAAATCATAACAACTCTGACATTATAATTACAAGAAAGTCCTCCAATAAGCTTAAATAACCGTTCGAGAACCATATTCAATGGAGACCATAACAGAAGGAATTCCTCTGTAGATTTTCTACTGCTCTGATATTGTGAGAAGGTTGCATTTGTACATGACATTTGACATTGAATAGCAGAAACAAGAACATGATTTGTGAAAGATAATACAATATTAGGAAAAAAAAACAGGGTTTTACATGATATCATGTCGATAAATTTACTTTTTGAAGTTATGTTTTTAAAAAACTAATAAAAATTAAAAAATTGGATACTTGATAAACATTCAATTTGTAAAGTAATTTATGATTTGGACATATTTATTTTTGAAGTGCTTCTGAATGCACAGACTTTGATTAACAATATAAGCAATAAAAGTAACATTATACAGTTGTTGTAAGAATATACTTTTGATTGTGTTATGGAACTAATGTTGAGATCTTATTGAACATGTCTAAATGTTCAACTTTTAATTGAATCTCAATATAGTGTAACATTTCTAAACCTAAAATTGTGCTTTAATAATATTAATTGATCTATATAGAATTATATATACGATATATAGGTTATGGTTGTTATACTAGACGAGCACAAGCACAACTCATTAAAATTTTAAGATAATCTTTTTATTTAATTAAAGCTTGAGTTTGGATCTTTAAGATTCGAACTTGACACGTTTAGTGCTGTTAAATTAAACGAAATTGACTCGGCTCGAGCTCGAGCTTATTTAAAGCTCGTTTGGTTAACTAGTCGAGCTCGATTCGGCTCGAAAAGAGATTTTTAATATAATTTTCTATATTTTGACTTGTTAAGGCTCGAACTCGAGGCTTTAACGAGCTGAGTTCGAGCTCCATTACTAACTCGTTTATTTAACAGCTCAGCTCGTTAAGTACTCGAGCTTGAGTCGGTTTGTTTACATGCCCAAGTAGAGCTACTAAGACTAGTGTTTTAATTAATTATTGTCATTGGCAAATTTGGAACTTTCAAACTTTTCAAAAATAAGAAAAACATGTCCATAATTTTTGTCTCCGTTATTGCCATCACCACCAATCATCCCTCCCCAATTCAACCCCTCTGACAAAAGAAGAAAGACACAAAAGAGCCCATATCATATGAGCTTCGATCGTCAAGAAAATAGGCAGATTATAAAGGAAAAGAAATCACTGTCCCTCGAATTTTGGAATCAGCTGAAGAGGATAGATGCTGGAGCAAATCATAAATTCAGGTTACTATTACCTGAATTTGGTGAGCAGCGAGTATTCGACGCCGATATGGGCTGTTCTGACCGCCGGATTTTCCGTCGTCGTCACTCTCACCCTTTCGGTTTACCTCCTTTTCGAGCATCTGTCCATGTACAAGAACCCCGAGGTCATATTTTGATGCCTTTGTCGTTATTTCCCTTTTTTTGTTATTCCCTTTTTATCGTATTTTCTTTGGGAGGTCATGTCTTGTTCTTGTGATGATTTTCAGGAGCAAAAGTTTTTGATTGGAGTGATAGTGATGGTACCATGTTATGCTGTTGAATCAGTAAGCTTGAAGACACCCTTTTGAGGGCTTTATTTTGTTAAATTCATTTTGCTTTAGCTGAATACAGTTGAGATTTATGATAGGTCGTGATATTGGATTGTGGGTTTAGCTGATGGTATTAAAGGTGCCGTCTTGGGCACCGACCCCATATTTTTACATGTATGAAATAACGGCCTTTTAGTGTCTTGGTGATTACGTGACTTTGGAAAGTTTACCGAGTTTCCTACGGTTAGACAGCTTAGTTGCCTCGTTTGATGTGTGCCCTTAGTTCTGTTTATCGTCTTTGTTCATTCTTGGCGACTGATATTTTCAAACGGTTGGAAGTCTACTTGTGGCTTGAAAGTCCCTCATGAAAAGCTTATTAGAGTTCTTGTTTTGATCTCATATATGGTTTGTTGCAGTTTGTATCGTTGGTAAAGCCAGCAATTAGCGTCCATATTGGAATCCTTCGTGATTGCTATGAATCCTTTGCCATGTATTGCTTTGGGAGGTACCTAGTTGCTTGTTTAGGTATGATGAGTTAAGTTACTTCTTAGTCGAATGTTATTTAAAACTTTCGAGACATGTGTTAGATTTTATTAGTAACTCTTTCCAATTCTCGTTATTTGATTATTTTCTGGTGTTGCGAACTTTGTTTCTTTTTCCTTTTATGTACGCTGGGTCTGTGAGCTCCAGTTTCTTGGAGAGGTGTATACATTTGCTAGTCGGCATAACTATCCCAATTTTTATTCTTTTACTGAATTGACTGAGTCGTAATTTCTGAAATCAGCCAGTCTTCTTCTTTTCTGTTTTTTCACGCTAAAATTAGGTGGAGATGAGAGGACAATTGAATTTATGGAGAGGGAAGGACGCACAAGTGTAAAAGCTCCCTTGCTCGATCATGGCTCTGAAAGGGGAATTGTAAAGCATCCGTTTCCATTGAATTTATTCCTAAAGCCTTGGAAACTTGGTGGGTGGGTTTATCAGGCCATCAAGTTTGGAATTGTTCAATATGTAAGTTTTCGCCTCGATATTTTAAATTTGGGCAAGTTATGTTGTCAATTCTGATCATCCTCTTATACGGAATGCATGAATTCTTTCAAATTTTGATGGCAGATGATTATAAAAGCATTCACTGCTATTTCAGCAGTAATTCTTGAAGCTTTTGATGTATATTGTGAAGGAGACTTCAAATGGAACTGTGGGTAAGTTACATGTTATGATCTTTCAAATAGATTTTGGATCTCGTTTCTTATAGCAACTGCTATTTGTGAAGCTTTTGTTGTATATTGTATGGAAGACATCAAAATTGCAATGTTGCATGGTTCATATTTTAATAACTACTTGAGAGAACATAGAGCATACAGTTGTAAAACTCTATTATGATGCGTCTTTGAACAATAAATACTTAAATGATGGAAAGCTAGAGTGACGAGCATGTAGTACTGTTACATATATGCCCACAGAGGTGAGTTTTCACTGATTCTTTCCTGATATACGAATAACAGAGTTTTTCATTCTTTTCTTCCCTGCTTACTTCTTTCTCAGTTTGCTGTTTTTTTTCCTTCATTGTAGGGATTTTTTTTACTCCTTGTTTTCTGTTTAGTGATAAGAATGTCTTTGAGTTATCTAACTACACAAATACATGAAACAATTCATACAGTTAAACCAAGCATCAGCCATCTTATCTGTTATTTTCTTTGTGTTTCCCTTTTCTATTGATTTTGTTTAAAATAATTTCATTGTTGCCTACCTATATATATATATATATATATATATATATATATATATAATATTGCGTGTATGATTTACTCAAATCCAAGCTGATGCTCCCATTTGACTAGTGTAAAATGAGTAAAGGAGAAGCTTGGCATCTTTAACAATGTCCATCTTCATTCTTTTACAGGTACCCATACATGGCTGTGATTTTAAATTTCAGTCAATCCTGGGCATTGTATTGCTTAATTCTTTTTTATACCATTACAAAAGACGAATTAGCGCACATCAAACCATTGTACAAGTTCTTGACATTCAAATCAATCGTGTTCTTAACTTGGTGGCAAGGTGTTGCTATAGCTCTTCTTTATGCTGTTGGTTTATTTCAGAGTCCAATAGCTCAGTCACTGCAGTTCAAGTCAAGCGTTCAGAACTTCATTATTTGTATTGAGGTAATTATTTCATTATTTTTAATTATTTTCATTATTTTTATTACCCTTCTGGTTTGTTGTATTTATTACTGCAATTTCTATCTTCACCAAGTGGCTAATACTAATTCCTTCTCATTTACTGTGTTGAGAACCAAATCTAGTAAGGATTTGTTTGATTTCAAAATAAAATACACTTTTTTTTTGAAAGCCAACCGATTTGACTGCAAAAATCAGTTACTTCAGTTTTAAAAGATTGTGTATTAATCCAGGACAGATGGGCATTGCTGCTGCAGTCCACCTTTATGTTTTCCCGGCAAAACCTTACGAATATATTGGAGATCATTTCTCGGGAAGTGTTGCGGTTCTTGGAGATTACGCCTCGGTTGATTGCCCTTTAGATCCAGACGAGGTGAGGGACAGTGAACGTCCGACAAAATTTCGTCTTCCACAACCGGACACCAAAGCTAGGAGTGGGACCGCCATTCGAGAAAGCGTTCGGGATGTTTTTCTTGGTGGGGGCGAATACGTAAGTTCCTTCTTCGTTTTCTTCTTCTTCTTCTTCTTCTACTTCCCCATTCAATTAACAACTTTCATTCGGTTGTTGGAAAAGAGCCACACTTCTCTTGTCAAACGTAACATTTGACCCAAACTAGAATATAATATTATATTGGCAAAATTGCTTTTCTAGTCCTGCTTGTTTAACGCCATAACAATTGTAGTCCCAACGTTCCAAGATTTCGGTTTTTGGTCTTGTGATTTAATATTTTGCTGTTATTTCAGTCCTCAACAAATTCCCAGATTTTCGATCAGCAATTTTAAGTCCTGTAATTTAAAATTTTGTTTCAGTAATGTAATTTAAAATTTAGTTGCAGTTTCGGTCCTCGGATGACTGAAATTGCAGCAAAATATTAAATCACATGACCAAAAGTCGAAAAGTTGGTAAAATTGCTTTGACGTTAAACTAACAGGACTAAGAATGCATTTTTGCCTATTGTCTGCAAGAATATTTTTGCCTATTGTCTGCAAGAATCTCAAATTCACTCTGTTTTTGCTAAATTTTTTATTGAGAACCACCAATACGTCTACTCTGAAGCAGGACAAATCATTCTTTTGAAGCAAACATACGTACGTTTAAACTCAAAACTCAAAAGTCGTAATACCTATTTACTTCTAACTACGTAAAATCCTTTTAAAGATAGATTTTTCCCAAAGATTTTATNTTTTTTTTTTTTTTTTTTTTTTAACGTACTAATCTACACTTTTCACCTTTACGCAGATCGTGAACGACGTCAAGTTCACAGTGACCCAAGCAGTTGAGCCGGTCGAGAAGGGGCTCAACAAATTCAACCAGAAACTGCACAAGATCTCGGAGAACATAAAGAGGCACGAGAAGGGGAGACGAACAAGAGATGACAGCTGTATCGCCACGTCATCGTCCGCGATGAAGGTCATAAGGGGAATAGACGATCCACTTCTCAACGGGAGCACGAGCGATAGCGCCAGCTCGAGGAGAAAGAAACACCACCGTCGAAAATCGGGTTACACGAGCGAAAGTGGTAATGAAAGCAGTAGCGATTTGACTTACAGTGGGTATATGATTCGAGGCCGAAGATGGGTCGTCAAGGATTAGTTATCGAGGCAAAAAAAGGGCCGGTAAAAAAAGTCGATTTTACTGCAGGTGAAAAAGATGTTAGTACTGTGTTTGTGCAGTTGATTGATGGTTAGGATTTTGATGTGCTTTGGTCATTTGGTGTGTATGATAGGAAAGGTGAGATTGTGGTGAAGGCTTCTGTAGATTTTCACTCATTAGTAATGAATTTTGCTGAGGATAATATAATTAGTTTATTTTGAAATTGATGTATAGAAAGATAAGAGAGAAATTTTTCTCTGTCTGACTGAACTCAATGTAATTCTATCATTTGAAATGCTTAAATGTGAAAATAATTTGTCTGTCAAATTTGTCCCAGAGAAAAGTATGAATGCAATATAAATAGATTTTTCAGTGGCTACAAGAAATATACACTATTAGTTAATCTCATCATTTTGGGAAGTTTTCACTCAGTCTATAGACTCAATGTATTACATGTTTGATAAATCAGACTAAGTGTTTGTTACAAACATTTACTCTGAAGCTATACCTACCTAACTAGAAACAATTAAATGAATACAGAGCCATTATTTTTCTAAAGTAACAAATACCCTATTGAGTGTGAGTTTTATACAACTGTAGTCTTTACCANCCTGTTTTTGCCTGTAATTAACACCTCATCTTGGAATGAGTTCAGACCCATCACTACACACCGATGAATCATCATCAGAATCATCGCCATCGTTAATTTCTTCAAAAGCCGGCTCTAATCGACTAGCGGCATTCTCATGATTAGCCGTTATACACTTCCACCACTTTTTACTTCCTCGTATTTGCTTAAGAGAGTCAACTACCTCGTTCCTAACATCGACAAAAAAGGGCAAAATCGTCAGCTCGGGACACCTGTAAACCTCTAAGCTCGACAGCGAGTCGCAGACCATCACTCCTCGGCTCATGTGCTTAAGTTCCGGCAAAAAACTCAACTTTAGTATCTGCAAACCCGGAAAAACTATTCGCACATCTCCTTCTTGCTCTTCTTCGCCTGCTGCAATTATCTCCGAAACTTTTTCGCAGTTTTCGAGTTGTATCTCGACGAGGTTTTTCAGCTGCAGTCCCAATTCGAGTGGGAAAAGGGCCTTTAGTCCATTGCATGCTCTGACATGCAATACTCGAAGTCTAGCAAGAGTTCCTTCGGGCAAAATTCCTCTACAAATTCCGCTTAACTTGCTCAAACCTTCGATTTCCAACAGCTCCAAGTTCGGTAAAGTGCTCGATTCTTCCTCAACGAGCACGAATTCCATTCCTTCACAATATTGAATTCTACAGCGCTGTAACTTGGAAGCAGCCGAAGTTATAAATACAGGCAAGTGAGTAATATCCGAGCAAGTGTGGATTTCCAGCTCGAGAATTTTATCTGGCAACCAAATGGTCCTAAGCGACTCGTTTAAGTCGACCCCAGAAAAAGCGATGCTGTTTTTCCCAATATTTACGGATGACGAAGCAGAAAATCCGATCAAGAACTTGAAATTATCGAGCCAGCCCCAGTAGCCAGACTTGACGTACCGAATAAATTCCTCCATGCAACCGAAGCTAACTTCGAGTTCAACCAAACTGTTATTGCTGCATCTCACTAAAGCTTCTGCTAGTGATTGCCCGTTAACGGGCCCAGGTAAGCATAACAAGGAAAGACTCTCCAAGAACCTGTAATTCGCAAAAGGAAGAGTGTGGGAGTTGGAAATTTTCGTATAGGACAGACTCAACCGCCGGATTTCGTTCAGCACGTTCATACCTTCCGGCAAACATTCTACCGGCGTGTAAGTAAGATCCAAGACTCTCAATTTCTCGAGCTTCGAAAAACTCGGCAGCGCCGACAAGTTCCAACAGCTCCGCAACAGCAAAGCGCGTAACTTCTCCAGAAGAGAAATCGAGTCGGGCAAATTATCCATACCCGTGTACGACAAATCGAGGACTTCGATATTTCTCAGTCGACTGAAGAAAGTCGGGAGTACCCCTTTCTCGATCGAGTTGTACTGCAGCAGCAATGTCCGGAGTTTGGGACAGTCGGGCTCGCAGCACAACGAGCTTATGTCGTTTCTCATCAACGACACCCTCTCGAGATCCGGGCCCCACTCTCCCTCCTCTGGCGGGGCCCGCAGCCCGCAGCCCGACTTAACCATGAAGCTCGAGTTCTCTCTCGTGAGCGCGATTGCCATGTCCCTTATCAAGTCGTGCATTCGAACGTGTCGGGAAAAAGAAAAACTACTACTCTCGAGCATGCAACTGCTCACGAGCTCGTTCAGTACAATCTCCCCTCTTTTCATCTTGTCCGGGTGGCCACCTGGCACGCCGCCCAAGAGGCCCTCCCAAACCCAATATTCGATCAGCTCGTCGGTCTCGATGAGATGATCCTCCGGATACAGAGCGCAGTAAAGAAAGCACGAGCGCGCCACGTCATCTTTCAATCGGTCGTAACTAAACCTCAACTGAGAAAAAACCTGGCTCGCCATTCCCTCGATGCTGCTAGCTGTCGAATTTCTAAGCTCGGTCAATGCGGTTTGCCAGTATTTGATTTTGGTCTCGTTTCTCATCGCCCGGCCGATCGTGACGAGCGCGAGAGGCAAACCGCCGCACTCCTTAGCGACTTTCTTCGCCAGCTCGTGTATTTTCGGGGAATTTAGTACAATCCCTTGCCCGACTTTTTGTTGAAACAAGTCCCACGAGTCTTGCTGAGTCAGCACGCCGACCTCGATCTCCCGCTCGACTTCCATTCTCCGGCAAACCCTCAAGGACCTCGTCGTAATTAATAATTTTCCCACACGTAGACTACTGCAAATAGGAATTCCGACATTTTCGAGGGAGAAGGCTTCCCATAAATCGTCGATTATCAGAAGAAACTTACGCCTCCGCCGAAGCGCCTCGGAGAGCTTGCGGGCCCGCCTCATCTCGTTGTCTTCTTCGTCGAAGCACAAGCCTACTTCTCTCGCGATGTCCTTTTGAAGTTTCTCGACGTTCGAGTCTTTTGATGCGGTTACCCAAATGACGAACTCGAAATGAGTTTCATCGTCTTTAAGTAGCTTGTTGTTGATTTCTTTGACAATCGATGTTTTACCGACACCTCCCATGCCGTAAATCCCGATAGTTTCGGTATTTATATCGGTTAAAAACTCCCACGCGCGCTGTAAAACAACTTTCACAGTCTCACCCACGAGCGAGCTAGTGGGCAAAGGCTTGCCCTTCTCGGACGGCAGCTTAACCAATGAGCTTTCTTGGAATATTTGGCTCTGCTCGAGGAGTTTATCGATTTCGTGGATTTTTTTGCTCACGTAGCTCCCGAGCTTTAGTCGAGAGAAGTAGTTGGGGATACATCCACAAAGGCAAGTTTTTTTTGCCTGCATTTCGCCGTTGAAACTAGACAAGACGAGATTTAGTTTATGGACATTGTTGAGCCATAGTTTGACTTCGGCAGATGGGTCCATTCCACGGAAAATGTTTTCCTCGTCGAGCTTTGTTTTCATGTCGGCTTCTCGTGCGGCGAGGAGTTCAGATTTTTCTGTTAGTATTTGCAGTGCAGCTTTTGGTTTTCTGAGATAGTTTAGTTTTTCGGAATTTGGCACAGTCGAGCATTGTGCACATAGGCACTGCATTATGGTTGCAACAGCAGCAGCAATTTCCATGCCCAGTAACTATGGAAAATAGATATAAAATAAATTTAATAAGANCAAATAAGAAAAGAAAGATTTAAGAAAGACAAATGGAAACAGGAGGAGACAGATTAAAAAGGTTATTGTCACTTGAAACTAGATAGCTGACATTTCCAGCCAGCTACATCATAAATTTTCCTACACTTACATAAAGAAAATTATTGCACAAGATATATTCAAAGCTTCGTTTATATCATATCGACCATTGTCGATATCTTGAACTATTGACATAATCAAAGCAGCTCAATATTCTACTAAGGGGGACTAGCTTATTAAAGTTCATGAATGAGATAATCCATATGAATGTGAATATTACAGTACTCCAATTTTTCTTAAAAAAACATTTTTTTGAAGATAACCCATTAGAAATTATGTTTCCAGTCATTAAAATGCACATAATCACTACTTTTATTACAACAAGAAAAGGCCACAATTTCATCATTCTCATTTCCCCTTTTCCCCCAACCTATTGTGTGACCCCAAAACCAGAAAAGGCTATCAAAAGTCAACCAATCACTTCAAAAATGTAAGCTTTATCAAAATCATTTACTCTGTTATCCAAAATCAGTAGCTTTTTAAGCTTAAAAGTCTCTAAACCTGTTTCAAACACTCCCTTCGAATGTGGGTTGCTGAGAAATTAGCTTGCCCGTTAAAATGAACACACAAAGCAACAAACTTTTTCACCTGTAAAGAACATCATGAGCAAAATGTAAAGAACTGCAAAAACCCAAAAGGAGACTTCATTAACCTGAGAAAAAGCTTATTCACCTGTAACATGAAAGAAAAATTCTCGGAGGATCTTGATCGAACAGCGCATGGGTTTGAAAAATCTCCTCGGAAACCCACTTGAGGTTGAGAACAGCTTACAAGAAATGGGACCCTTCGAATTTTTTCACCGTTAAAATATGACATTTTTATGCAACGATTTTTTTTTTTTGGTTGTTTTTTTGTTTTTCATGTAGATATAATGTTTATTATGATTGATAAATACAACTTATTGTTTCTATACTTTCATGTGGATAAGTGAATATTTCTGCAAATTCAAAGTTTATATTAATATATATACTTCATTCTCTCCCACAATGTAATATGTGTACTCACTAATGGTAGAAAATTAGCAACATTTATGCTAATGTAAGACTCACAAATACAATTTAGGCATCGATTGAAAATAAAATTATTTTTGTATTGGCTGGCTGTAAAAATTTTTTATAATTTATTTAAATTAAAGCTCAAATCAAGTTAATTCCACTTAAACTTTTTTCAATATTATTAATATAATTAAACAATATTCATCAATAATTATCGCACATCATATCAACTTTAATTCACTATAAATTAATTTATATAATTTCAATTAAATATCACTTCTAATCACTATCTTTTCTATTTCGTATCAAATCAACTCTAGTCATTTTATTTTAAATATTATTTTAAACACATACTCAAATCAACTCAATCAACTTTATTCAACAAATCAACAACTTTGTACAAAATCAACTCATTTTATTCGTCAAATCAAATTCAATTCAAAACAATTCGTTGCTAATAGCAGCCTTATTATGTCGACTTGTTTATCATGTATTACTTTTATCTATGGATGTGAGTAGTCATTTTAGCCAATTCTCATATAGTTAGGACACTGAGCTCATTTACCATCTTTAAAAGTATATGAATATATAAAACTATAAATTACATGCATAAACGTTCTTCGTACTATAAAATTAAAATCATTTTACAAATGTATGGATCTTGAAACTATTTGTTTATATTAGTATTGGTAACTTCAGTAGTGTTATAAAACTTTTCTTGTGATAATCTGTATGTCACTTTCAAGTTCTAATTAACTAAGGGCGTGCTTGTTTATGAAATATTTAATTCAAAATGAGTTATTTTAGTTAATTAGAGTTAATTTTGAAAAAGGTAATATAGTTAATTGTTAGTGGGATATAAATGATTG